GGGTCTCTAAATCCACCGCGGACTACCTCCTTTATTTTGCAGCTCGGTTCACATTCATGCAATGTCATGTTGATCTGTCCTTTTATGCTTCCACATCAACCTAAATGAAAAGATAAATTGCTAGGTAGAGACCTAAAATTCTTCACTACTAACTTGTCAGGCCTTGGGGTGGCAAGCAATCCAGATAAAGGAATTCTTATTTCTTAAGTTTTGGATACTGTGAGATTTTCATCATGGTCTTTTTAATGACTTCTCAGGAAAACTTCCTAGGTTGATGTAAGGTGGTTACTTATAATTGGAGGCAAGTTAACAAAGGGAGAAGTTATGGAACACAAACAAATAAAATATTAAATAGTAACCATGACAAAAAAGCGAGACTCTAAGGCACAGTGGGGCCCTTAGGGGATTCAGAGTCCAAGTTTCCATTCTAGTTTTTCCTTTAACTTTGGACAAGCCATCTAAATGCTGGACTTCAACCTCTTTATTTGTAAATTTGAGGTTAAAATATCTATTGTTAAAGCTAGGAAGGTAGCTAATTAGGTAAAGGGTTTGCCTTACAAGCAAGAGACCTGAGTTCAATTCCCAGAACCCACTTTAAAAAGCCTGGGTGTAGTGGCACCCATATAATCTATTGCTGGGGACACAGAAACAGGCAGATCTCTGAGGCCTGCTAACCAGCCAGCCTAACCTAAATGATGAGTTCCAGGCCAGCAAGAGATGTTTCAAAGAGCGGAAAGATGAATGGTACCTGAGGAACAACAGTGGATACTGTCCTTTGGCATCTACACTCACACATGTGAATACACACACACACACACACACACACACACACACATATGTGAACATAGGCACACATACACATACAAATATGACTTATCTAGTCCAATGCTTTAGCAAGCATTAAGTTACATGTGTAAGAAAGAGTGAGCTTCACATGATCCCTAACACACAGTCAGTTCTGAATAAATGAACCAATAAGTAGATGGAACACAAGTAAGTATAAATACTAAAACAAGAGCTCGATCCTGGCGAGGAGGTAATGTATTAAAAAAAGAAAAATCATAAGCTTTTCAGTGAGACAGATGTGAAATCATGCCTCACCTTTCCTTATAACATCCCTGAACCTCAATTTCCTGAACTGCAATGGGAAGGGGGTGATAACAAAAATAAGAACTACCACCTCATGGAGTTACTGTAAGACTTATGAATGCCTGTGAAAGTCCTTTGCAATATATAAGAGGTGAGTTAGAGTTGTTAGTGGAATGCATCCTCCTTAGCTAGAGGATTTATTAACAACCTGGGCTCAGTAAGGCTACCACAGCACAGAGCAGCCAGGACTAGAAACAGTTTCCTCTTATTCTGAATCTTCATATACATCTTCTGAATCTTTCAGAAAAGAGCTACCATATTTTATTTTAAAACTCTATGCATGTGTGTGTGCATGTGTATGTGTGTGTGCATGTGTGTGTGTTCATGTGCGTGTGTGTGTGTGTGTGTGTGTGTATCCAGTTCAATAAAACTTCTGTCAACATCAGATCTCTGTGTGGATGCATTTGTATGTTCAGTTCGTAAAGTGCTTTTAGATTTTTTTCAAGGCAAAAGATAAACTCATTTAATTTAGAATCATCAGCTGGATTGCATTAAATGGAGGGAAAAGCAAAAGCGTACACAATACAGCCATTTGTTAAACACAATTATTTCTCCTGTTACTTAATTACAAGCAGACATAAATACTGTGGATTCTGACATTGCAGATCTTCTTAAATTCTTGCTCTGCATTTCAACATGTAACGAAAGGAGGGTCATATTCCAATTTGTGTGTTAAGCAAACCCAAGAGTTACAATTGTATATTGGGACCATAATGACTTCGCTAAAACAAGACCTAAACTTTTAATTAACCTGCCAAGACAAATTACAGCTCACAGCTCACAGGTAATGATCACAGACAGCTGAGACTCAATGCCAGGCACTCTTGGGGAAAGAGGGATTAATCGCAACATCAGAATCAGTCTGTTTTTGTATTAAAGAAAAAAAAAAGTGTTCATTAAACAATCACTGTAGCTTGAAGGGAGGCAGACAGGTTGGAAAGGGATCAAGAGAAGGGGGAGGGACAGAGAGGGCAGGCACCTTAACAGCTTCCAGCTACTGAGTCCATTTCATGGCCCAAGCTGTACAAGGCTCTTTGGATTTCTCTTTCTAATCGTCACAATGGGGAAGGAAACCACTATTAGTTTTTCATTTTCCAAATAAGAAAGAGGTGACATGCCCATCCACAGTCACAGAATTAACATGGAGCAGTAAGGGAGCGAAGAAATAGAAAGCTTGTCTCAGGGCATATGTATTCAGAACTTTGTTGAATGGACGTGCACCCCAGCTCTTATACAAGCTCGTGGAGTCAGTGTTTCTGAAGAAAGGCCCAGGAATTTGAATTTCCATCTGGCCACTCAGGAGATTCCTTTGTTCAACAGCAGTTGAGAACTGCCATAACCCCTTGCTACTCAAAGCGTGTATAGCAGCGTGGGTTCCACTGGGCACTGGTTGGGTCAGGAATGCTGCCTACAGACCTGCAGGAAGAGTCTGCATTTTACCCACACTCCCAGGTGGTTCTTCAGTACGTTAAAGTCTGAGAAGCACGACAGAGCCTATCTGCTCTAGTGCACATGGTAGGGTCGAAGGAAGGGGAAGACAGCTTTCATCACAAGAGCAGAGGAACCAGGGGGAAAGGCGCAACCATGGCCTTATTTAGAACAGAACAGACTAGCAAGCTCCAACAAGCCAAGAGTTGGCAAAGGTACACCCCAGTATTTCCCTCTCACTTTTCTAAGATGCATATCCTAATGAAAAGGAGTTTTCTTTGGGGATTTAAATTAATAACCTTTCATATTTATGCTCAGTTATTAAAACAGAACTCTGTAAATGCTCATAACTCTGTGTGAGCCCAATGCTCTGTGCCTCATTGTGCCTAGGAGGAGTGGGGCTGGGAGACCAGGGAGCTGGAAATGGGGCACCACTAGGACTCAGCAACTGTGTCCCTAAACTGAGGCCACCAAGTCAATAAAGACACAAGATCTGCTGCCTAGCACACCCTGTAAAGTGATGGTCTAGTTGCTGGTGAGGCCACAGCCCAGTCTACAATGACAGGCTGTAATGCTGGCCTCCATGTCATCAACAGCCATTGACTGGCAGCTTCAGATTCCAGACTCTTAAGAAACTGAGAGCTGGAGAAAATAAGTGATCTCTATGAGGTTAAAAGTCAAGTTCACGGTAGAACTTCAGGACTGAGGCTGTTTCCTACTAGACTTCACAAAAACTGCTCAAGAGGGAAGCCAACAACATGCACCTGCCAAGACCAGGGTTGCCAAGGGTCCTGCTGAAGGGAGCCTCTCAGAGGAATGGCTGTGCCCATGCTTCTTTACTATCATCCGAGGGGCACTGCCCATCAGGGTGTGAAGGGGTTGTGAGACAGACCATGTCAAATTCCTGTTCTCTGGGCACTTGGAATCCTGTGGCTGGGTCAGTCACCTCCAATCAAGGACAAAGCAAAGGGACATTTCCTTATCAGTACCAGTTGCTGGATGCCCCACCCCAACTTTGCCATGAGGGTAAAATATTGAGGTTGCATGTACCAAAGAAGCATATAAACCATTTAACAGAAAGATACTCTCTGCCTTAGTACTAAGGGCAAGATTGCAAATAGAGGGAAATGGCCTGAGAGTGACTAATACTGATTAGGACTGAGTTTTCAGGTGAGCCCTAAAGCCTGTGGGATTTTCACCAGGTAGAACTCCTGTTTTGGCTCATGGAATGGTGTCCTCACTAAATTCTATTCATCTGGAGGAGATTGGGGGGTTTTGAGACAGAATCTCATGTAGCCCAGGCTGGCCTTGACCTGTCTATGTAGCTAAGGATCACCTTGAATTTCTGATCCTCCTGTCTCTATCTCGCTAGTGCTGGGATTACAGGTGTGTGCCATCATGCCCAGTTTATGCAGCACTGGGGATCAAACCCAGGGCTTCGTGCATGCCAGGCTAGTGTTATACCAACTGACCTACATCCCCAGTCCTCCTTATTTCCCCAACCCAAATATTTTATTTTATTATTTGGGAAATGGAGACTGAATCCTGGGTTTCACACACCAGGTAGCAAGCCCTTTACCAACTGAGCTACACCCACAGCCCTCCTGTAGGAAAATTTTATTTCCAAACTGTGTCATAGTGCTTCCAAAAGAAGCTCAGAAAAATTCTGACTTGGACCACTAAGACTATCACTTAAGGAGTGGATAAAGTGTATGGGATGGAATTTACTGGTAAAGAAGAGAATGACTTTTAATAGGGATCCAGGTCACATGGACACTTATACACTTTTGAGGTGACCAAAGCTCTTTCCCTCACAAGGCACAGGGACAGTGTTCAAACTCACTTATGACACCATGGCTCACTCTTTGTCAGAGAACAGGTTGTCTCTATTTTCAGTAAAATGCCAGCCTGACTGTGATCTGCTCTTCCAGCCCTGACCCTGCTGTTCTCTCTTTCTTCAAGACTTTTTCTCTCACTTCACAAAAACAAACAACCCCCCGCCCCAAAAAAACAACAACAAAAAAACCCAAATGACAAATCAACAAGTTGAACCATGTGAGACTTTAAAGATAAATAGGTAGGGGATAAGTTCCAAGAAAGAAGATGTGACCTCTGTGAGGCCTGCTACCCAGGGCTCCTGTCTCCATGGCAGTTCTGCCTCCTGGCTCCTGAGATGGAGCTGGTGGTCCACACATCACTGTACAGACAGTGTGAGAGATACAGTGGACATAGCAGGTAACCCAGGCTGGTCTTCCAGCTCCTCTTGTCATTTCCTGCCCTACTTACTTTGGTTGACTTTGTGCCATGCTGTGAATGGCAGCTATAGCTCTGGGCAAAACATATTCAGCCCTTTGCCAGTATTAACTTCAGAGTCCCCAGCCTTCCTCCCATCCAAAGATACTATGGAGGGTGGAGCTGCTTACCAATGGCAGTAGTGAGAAAGGAAACCACTTCAGACTCCTTCCCGTCATTGTAAAAGGCCAGGTGCCAGATTCCTGAATCCAGATACTGGATGAAGCCTGTCTCATGGCTGGATGGGGGTACAACACCCCGAGACTGGCGTTGGGGACCTTCTAAGCTCCGTGCTTCCTGGGTCAGGAGCCTTCTTCCATCTAGTAGCTCCACGAAGTCAAACTAAAGCACAAAGAGAGCAATATTAGCTGTGGGCTGGCACCTCTACCTGCCACCTCTGCATTAGGCTCCCATGGGAAGGCCCGAAGGAAGACAGAGAGGCAAAAGGGAAGGCCAGGAGAGTAGACCCATTCATTCTTCCTCAGAAGAACTGGTAATGGTCTCCTAACTTTCCTATATGACATAACTGATGAGTATTCATTGTCTTGGTTGTTTTCAGTTTTTCTGTATTCGTGGTAAGTCTTTACTGGACTATATTTATACTAAGACAGTCAGGCTTCTTCAGTGGTGGGCCCCTTATTACAAACCTAAGTGCTTTGTGACTGTTGGAGCTCCATGCCAGTAATGACATGGGGGTTTGGATTAGAACTGGAACACTGAGTGAGTGGGACTGGAATACTCATGAACACATGAAGATTTGATTAATATCTATTTGTCTTTTGTCAACAAACCTTTTTAAACACTTCAGTTTCAGGAAGTAATAACAAGAGAAATAAACTGGATTAGCCTCAAATTCCATCGGTAATTACATGTTGCATCAAAAACAAATGCTGATTGATTCAGGACTGCTAGCCTGTAGAGATGTCTACATGCAGTGTGAACATCGGGTAGGTGGATAAGCCCTACTGGTTCACCAGGAAACACATCGAGTAGCTAGCTAGCCAGATTTTAATTTTAAAATAGGAGATATTTATTCTACATCATGTAAAACTGAAGTTGTGAAATTCAGGTCAGCATTGTGGTTCTGTGGTCACCAGGGGCTCAAGGTTGTTTATTGCTCTGTGACTCCATCTTCAGCAAACGTACCCATAGAGCTAAACATCTTTTTAGAAATATTTTATTCATTGTTTTTACTTTTATGTTCTATATGTAAGTGCAACTCTTCTGTACAATGCCTGCAGAGGTCAGAAAAAAGTGTTGGATACCTTGGAATTGGAGTTACAGATGGTTGTTAGCTGCCATGTGAGTGCTGGGAACTGAACCTCGGTCTTCTGCAAATACAGCCAGTGTTCTTAACCACTGAGTAATCTCTCCAGACCCAGAGCTAAAAATCTCAACTGAATATTGGATGTAAAAAGACTATGTAACCCTGAATGCCTGACAATTAAAAAAAATTTATTATTTTTATTTTATGTGTATGTGTGTATTGCCTCTATGTAGTTAAGTGCACCCATGTCGTGCAATGCCCAAGGAGGTCAGAAGAGGCTGTTGGATCCCCTGGAACTGGAGTTACAGACAGTTGTTAGCTGCCATGTGGGTGCTGGGATTTGAACCCAGGTCTTCTGCAAGAACAACCAGTGTTCTTAACCTCTGAGCCATTTCTCCAGTCCCGATGCTTACAATTTTTATTAGTCTAACTTCAAAGCAGAGAGGACCTTGCACAGGCCTGTTCTCTCTCACTCATGACTCCTCCTCCTCCTCTTCCTCCTTTCTTTCTTTTCCTTCCCTCCTTCTCTCTTTTGGTATTAGGAACTGAATCTAGGGCCCAGCATGCTAAACATGCTGTATCACTTAGCTATCCCCCCAGCCACTTAGACAAGGTTGCATAGATGATTCAAGCCCAGTGTATGTTTTTTTTCTCTAGACCACATTTCCTTGATAATTTAACTTAGGAGACAGAGTAATTGCAAATTGAAAAATTTCCTAGAATTTCTTCTCCCCATGCCAGGAGGATGTAAGAAGTGCACATGCCAAATGGTCTATAAGACACATGGAAGTCCCTTCAGGCTCAGGACCTGGACTGGGCTTCTGACCTAAGTTAAGATTTGAGCTGGACCTTATTAATTAGTGGATGTGAAAAACATTACCGTTGAAATCTACCTGATGACTTTATATCCATGCTCAGGTGCCAAGGATCTCAGAAAGTAACCGAGTGTGACTAGTAATAATCTGATATATAGAGATTAGAAATGCATGTGTAAACATCTAAGTGTTAATTGCATTAAAAATAAATTTTCCTATATGAAACTGTGTATTTTAATAATGAAATGGAGATCTTTTTTAAAGGTTAAAACCTTATTCAGTTTTATGTCTTATAGGGTTTATACTGAGTACAATATTGTATAACTGTATTAATTCACTGTAAACCTAAAAATTTACAGCCAATTCTAAAAGAGATGCATCTTAGCTCTGGAAATTGTTATTGAATATGTCAATGCTGTTGTAATGAAATGCTTCTTCTAATTATGTGGTTATTAAATAAATAATTTAAAAAAATAAAAAAAAAGATTTAAGTTGGAGTCCATGAGGTCAGCAGGTGTGTGGGTTCTAGTTACCTGAGTATGGGAAGGAGGAAGGCCTTTTCTGCCATAAATGCCAACCAGAGCTGCCTTTCCCAGAGACACATTGAACTTCAGATGCACAGGGTGGTCTATGAACACCTGAGATCTCCAGAAAGTGCCAGGAGGAATCTTCTGGGAAGCCCGTCTCCCCACGTCAATTTCTCCAGAGTCTATAAAACTGTCCTCTGGAAAGAAACTGCTGGGTTTTCCTACCGAGAATAGGAAGACAAAGGCATTTTGGTTAGTCACACCTGATGGGGAACCACAGACTCCATTCTGCCTCTCATTGGTCAGCAAAGGTCTGCGGCCAGAGCTACTCTACTGCCTCTCCCCCACAGGAATAAGAAAGTCCAGAATTTTTTTTTTTCCCCAAAGATGCTCAAATTGTTCTGCTAAAAATATGCATTCTTCCACAGCAGTATGGGTCCTCCCCAAGGGCCATCTGTTTACTGCATAGTGCCACAGCTTGTTAAGATATATTTTGATCCTAAAAATAATCATTTGCAGTCACATGAGAATAACTCTGTGTGTGTGTGTGTGTGTGTGTGTGTGTGTGTGTGTGTGTAAAACGCTGTATGATAAAGTAGGAAGGACAGAGAGAATAAGGTGTTGTTATTTAATTTCCAACTCAGGCATGGCTGGAGTGGAGGAAGGTATTTTAGAAGTTCACACTGTTATGTAAAAATTGGAAGCCACATTTTAAAGCTACATATGTGGTCGGGGGTGTTGGGTTTGGAACAGGGCTATAAGCTGGCAAAGATAAAGAAGCGGTCCTTATGAAGGAAAGAAGCATCTTAAAATGCTTTTTTTTTTTTGGTAGATGTGGATATCATTTTTACACTAAAATGGTTAAGGGAATTTCTCAAGTTCATACACAAAGTCTATAGCATAATTGGAAATTTAACCTGGCCCTCAGCCCTGTACCACAAGGGACTTGGGGGTTGGGGGCGGCGGCTCAGGAATTAGATCTCTTACTCATTTCTGTCACCAATCAGGAGAGTGACTGCTTTCTTGGGGGCACAGCAAAGGCCAGGAAGGAAGGCTACTTATCAGACTTCCCCTTCATAGTAATTAAACACAGTCATATACAAAAGAGATAAACACTAACTTCCTGCTAGATATTAGCCTTCTTAAGAGTGGGGAGGGAGCAGGGCAGGGGGTCCTGCAGGGATATTAAGAAGACCACCTTTCGGACCCTGAAAAACAAAGTCAAGTCAACAGACTCCACTGTATTTGTCAGTAGTAAGGAACCCCTGGGCATCCTGGCTCCAAGGCATTTTGTGTGGTTAGAGATGTTCAAAGATGTTCTAAGAGAACTAGAATCATTTGCAAAGAAAACACGTTTGTGGAACTTTTTATAAAAAGCATTTGGAGAATAAGAAATTACAGTGTCTTTTTTCCCTCAGCTTTGTAAGACTCCTTACAAAGCACATTTGATGCTGAAATGAAGCTTGGCAGGGCATTGTTGTAGTCATAAAATATTTTACTGTTTTAAATAATAAAATTCAATTTAAATGTTAAACTTCTCCATATGTTATCATTCCCTTATAAACTTCTAGGCAGAAACATCAGGTTTTTAGCTTCAAACCATTAAACGTTATTTTAATTAAAAATGTGCCAACAACAAAGAAGTTTAAATGCACGCGATCAATAAAAGTACCATGGGTATTCTCTCATTGGACAGGAAAAGAATTTGCATTTAATTCCTTATGAAAGGAATGTGCCCTAGACTTTTACCTTGAAATGACAGACACACAAACCACCACACTGTGAGTCACAAAACTTTAAAGACAGGAACCCAATTCATAAGGCATTAAGATGGGAGGGAATTATTCACATTCTTCTTTATCTGATCTGTGACTTCCCAGAAATGTAACCCTTTTATAGGGCAGGTAGAAAGTGAAACACCCCCAGCTTTTAATTCTGCATGGGAGGCAGAACTAAGGAGGTATATGAAACAAAAGCAGGATGCCTTCTGAACCCTTCCCTCTCCTAGGACTGCAGAGAAGGAAGCACAAGCTTCCAATTCCAAGGGCTGTGAGTAGGAGGGAGTCAGAGCTGAGGGGACTGGAGAATTGTCTACATTCGAATAGTTCTATGCCTGAAAATAAATAATGGAAAGCTGCTCCCTCATTTCAGCAGGTTGCTGGACAAGCCCACATGGCTCCTTTTCTTCCTAGCAAAGAGGAGAGCACATTTTAGGAGGCAGCCACTCTATCTGCAGCCTTATAGGTCAGGAAGAGTCAAGAGACACCTTCCAGAGCTTAGAAGGATCCCCAGGTAGGAGTACATGGAAACACTGTCTTTCATGTGTATTTAAGGAACCACACATAGGAAATGATGGTCTGGGGCATACCTGCCTCTGCCCTCACAAGATCTTGAATCTGTGGGGACCCTGATCCTCAGTGGCCCCCACATTGGACCAACTGTTGGGATATGATGGGGACTGAAGAGTAAACACCCTCTTTTTAAAATTTATTATTTATTATTTTTATTTTATGTGTATGCGTGTATTGCCTGCATGTAGGTAAGTGCACCTGTGTCGTGCAATGCCCGAGGAAGTCAGAAGAGGTGTTGTCCCCTGGGGAACTGGAATTACAGACAGCTGCCATGATTATTTTTATTTTATGTGTATGCGTGTATTGCCTGCATGTAGGTAAGTGCACCTGTGTCGTGCAATGCCCGAGGAAGTCAGAAGAGGTGTTGGATCCCCTGGAACTGGAATTACAGACAGTTGTTAGCTGCCATGTGGGTGCTGGGATTTGAACCTGGGTCTTCTGCAAGAACAGTGTTCTTGACCACTGAGCCATCTCTCCAGCACCTAAACAGCCCTTATAATCTATTTTCAAGGGAATGATGTTGTGGGGCTGGTAGAGTGAAAACTCTTTCTCCTTCTTAAGCCTTAAAAAACAAACAAACAAACAAACAAACAAAAACCTCTTTCTGCTTTTTTCTTTCCAGATCTCATACGATTCCTTGTCTCTGATTCTGAACACTAGGCTGTGAGCACCAGAATATAAGATGTCCCACCACAAAATACAGTCAAAACATAATCCACCAACTGTGAAGTGGAAGTTAGAGGCTAGAGATCAGTAGAGGAAATTTCTGTGTCTACAATTCTCCTCTTCAGCTATGCGCTGGAAGATAGTAAATGTTAGCAGAAGAAACAGTAGTGAAGAAAGAGGTGGGATTGTTAGTATCAGCGACCATTAATGAGTTCCAACTCTATCATCAAGTACATTCATTTACACCAACTCAGTCAATTCTCACAACACTGAGAACATTGCTACCCTGAGCTTCTGAATGTTTATGAAGCCAATTGGAGATGACACCACTTGGGAAACCTCCATACATCTTAGAATATGGCTTTTAAGAAGATTAAATGGATGAGTGATGAATTAAAAATCTGAAGAGACACTCTCAGTGGTGGTGGGTTACACTGATCCTTTCAAAGAACAGGAAGTCCAGTGGGGATCACAGCTCTGGCAGGGTAAATGTCAAGGCTTAACCAAGTAGATCCACAGCCCAGTTAAAAACTTCCTAGTATTCCAGGGTTTAAACATTGATAATTTTTAAGAATTAAGAAGCTGCAAACAGAACCTAGGGTAGTCAGGGTCTGAAGACATGAGAAACACACTGTACCATCACTGGGTGTCCCTAGAGCCTTACCAAACAGTACAGGAGCTTAGCTTAGACAGCTCCAGCCCCCAATGGCATGATTTGGTTTCACAGGGCAGATTCCACTCATAACTGTCATTTTCTTTATAAAGCTAGACAAATTCAGGTTTTCTAGAGCAATGCTATACAAATATGCAATCAGGTCTATAAAAGAAATCTCTCAACAAATTGCTGAAATGATTGGATCACTCAGTCAAACATGGAAGACTTGGAAGAACTGAAATTCCCATACTTCCCAATCATAGTCTTTACTTTCCTGAACACAGACCTATTCATCCAGGCTCTAAATTCCTAATCAACTAGCAGTCTCCTCCTCCTTGTTGGTTTTTCTCAATGCAATAACTTGACAAAGAATCCTTTAGTTTCCTTGGCAACTGTTTGAAATTTATTTGGTTATCAAAATAAGCTTTTCCATTTCGGAGAGCCCAGCCGAGCCTGTGTGCAGCAGTTTGCATGGTTCGGTCCGATGGGTAAGTCTGATTTCATTGCAGAAAGAATAAAACGCTATCCATGGCCCACAAATTCAACCATCAGAAACGTTTGTTTATTCAGTGCTTTTTCCCTTCCCCGTTAACACAGAACACAAGTTCTTGTGGCATTTTGCTTTGGGAAGCTGCCACATTTGGTTTCTGTCCCATGATGACCCTGAAATGCTTATAGCCACTTTGAAAAGACAGTGTGAATTGAAGTTTGATGTTACTCTCAAAGACATAACAAATATTTGCAGTGCTGGGATTATCATATATTTAATTTATATAATTAAAATATGCATTTAAAAATACCCCCAAACCTTAGGAGAATCTGGGGGAGAGTAAATGTTTAAATAGACTACATCTTTAGGATTTTAATAACTGAGATGGAATGGCTTCAGATTAAGTGGACAAAATGAGAAGGGGGGTGGACCTTTGTTGGGTTCCTCCTCCTCACTAGGCTCTTAAAGGAGATATCATCATCTTTGTTGTATAGGTGAGAAAACTAAGGCAAAGAGATAAAATAACTGGCATATGTTTAAAACAACAATGAAAAGCATGGTTGAAAACTGCATCTTGGACTGTGTGGCTCTAAAGCACATTCGTCCTTTTCTTACCAGTCTTCGCTGCCACCCCTCATCATTACAGAGCACGGACTCTAATCTCTATTCTGCAACTCTCTACCCTGATACCATCAGAAGGGACCAGAAACAGGCACTCACATCAGGGTTAAAAATGTCACATTTCAGGTAATGGCTAAGGAAGCAGAGTTTTAACATCACAGTTAAAAACATAAAGTGAGTAGACCTTGGTTTGATTCGACGGGGTGGGGTAGAACCACGTGGTCCACACAAACTGCTTTGTCTTCTGCTCTCTAGGCTGATGAAATTTTTTTATCACAGGAACTGCTCCTGCCGCTGACCACTTTCCAGTACTGCCCTCCGTTTAAGGGGTTTGTAAACAGGATCTCCATTTGCATCAGTAATGACAGATAATCTCTTTAAGCAAAAATACTCCAATTAAAAGAAGTCAATAAGGCAACGCATTTTTATGTTGTCTCTTATCTGTACTTCCTGTTCCTCAGGAAAAAGCTAAACAAAACCCAAACAACCCTCAAACTAATTTCATTAGAGTGGAAGATTTCAGATAGATCTAACTCCTGCTGAAGGATGTCTGTTAGAGATCACGGGGGTGGGAGAAAATACATTATGCTAAAGGAGGCTCTTTACTAATTCCATGAGGGTTAAAGATACTTTAAATATGTTTTCATGTGTTGATCTGAAGACGGTTGTTCCTTGATGATCTTCACCTGTGGCACCAGGCCAACTAAACTGGTCTGAGAATTACAAGCCACCAGGCAGGACCATGGATAGGACCATCTTGGCAAAAAGATCAGAGGAGTCATCATTTAAATCCCATAATGTTTCTAATATGAATTTCACACGTTGAACTTGCAATGTACCCTATAGAAAATCCAGCACAATGCCTTTTGAAAAGGAGGGAAGTGAACCCCAGAATGTCTCCTCAGGGGATTTGCTTAAGCCTGCACTACAGGTCAGTAGCAACAGCTGAACTTGGCTCCTCCACTGGGCCCATTCACACCATCTTCCTCTACACCTCATATGGGACAAAAAGGGTGTATTTAATATTTTAGGTCTTAAAATGTTTACGAAGAAGAGGACAGGCTTTGCATCTCAAAATAGTGGGTAGTTCTTTCGACTTGACTCTTCGGAAATCCCTCAAAATCTCTCTCTCTCTCTCTCTCTCTCTCTCCTTAAACATGACAACAGGTCAATGGTTGACTTTGAATTTCAGGATTATTATTTCAGAGGTCACAAGAGGATATTGTGAACAAGCATAAGTCACCCTTTTAGCCAAACTGATAGCTAGAAGGCATGACCCCAGAGTTAACTGAGGTAAGAAGAGAGATGACATAAGCAGGGCAGATTCGAGCTATGGCTCTTTTGCTGACTGGGGAACATCCAAGCAACAGGAAGTCACAGCAGATACATAAGAAGGGACGAAAGGACGGGATGACCACTATGCCCAAATGACAATGAGACTGGCCTGTTGGCTCATGCATCTTTCCCAGTGCCAGTTTTGGTGAGCCTGAACCTCTCTTGGCTGATAGTGAAGAAAATTTGTGTCTATAGATTACTGAAACACCCTTGAGAAATTTAGAACATGACTATATGGATTCCCACTCAAGAACGCCAAATCCCAAATGCCAACACCACTTTTCTCGTGGATAGAAATAACTTTGCCTTATTGTACAATAGGATTTCACATCTGTATCACCTTTGAGATCCTGCAACCATTGGGTGGAGGAGGTAGATAAACTAATGGAGGGAGTGAGAGCCCTGAGGCCCCAGACCTGGGCTCATATACTGAACTCTAGCATTCTACTAGCTGTGTAACTCTGACCATGTCACTTCAGTAATATAATCACTAGTGTTTGCATCCAGGGTGGGCATAACTAATTATACTAACTTCATAGGGTTTCTGTGGTGTTTAAATATGCAGTGAAATGTCCTTAATAAGAGGCTTTGAAACAAACATGTCAGAGAAATAATAATTACTGTTACTACTGCTGAGGAGGAAGTGGACATTCAGCGCTCTTAAGGGACTTGCTCAGGGTCATGAGGTTGGTAAATGCTAGACCACTGTTTCCACTAAAACACAAGGCTCGAAAATCTTTTCACTGTAACAGATCATCTACTCTTTCACCATACCCCACTCCCATATATGCCCCTTCATCCCATGGGGCTTCCCACAAGGACTCCCCATGACCCCCACACAAAGATGGACAGCTGGCAATGTGAATGCCTCTAAACGCCTCCTTGGTGGCATGGAATGAAATGCTGCAGAGCGCCATGAGCCCCACCAAGCCCCACTCTGAGCTCACAGTGACAGGGAATTGCGATGAAGGCACAGGTGGACTACAGCTGGCGTGGAGTGCAGAGGATGGTGGAAGCACCAGAGCATGAGCTGTGAGCCAGGCACATGATGTGCATGATGGAGGTCTCCTCCGCTCAAAGGCAGACACAGAGGACTCACAACACGGACAACGCAGCAACCCTACCTTCTGTGGCTCCTTTGCCTTTCCTGTCAGGGGTCTCTAAGCCAGTGCCCCCTGAGGGATACAGGGAGACGTCCGTTGGCACAGGCCAACTGCTGGCTGTGTCCTCCGTGATCTCATACATCTGCCCCTCCATCGGCTGCAGGTGCCAGTTTAGGCCAAACAGGTGCATGGCTGTGGTGAGCAATGAGAAAAGTCATCTTTTTCTGCTGGGGGTGGAAATGGAACTCCCAAGCCATAAGGGAAGGGGATCTGGGGTGGGGAGCACAGATACTCAGTTCGGCTTAACAACAGTCCCAGAGAGAGAGAGAGAGAGAGAGAGAGAGAGAGAGAGAGAAAGAGAGAGAGAGAGAGAGAGAGAGAGACTCTTACAGTGGCAGGCCCTACAGATCAAGGATTAGACCTTGCCCTCACTCACAGTCTGGTGACCCTGAGACTGAATTGGGGAGGGCAGTGTTGCAGAAGATCTTGGTCTTTTCCTTCAAAAGATAAATAACAATCTAGAGGGAAAGTTGTAATTCGTATCACAAAGAGTCAGTTTCCTTAATATGAAAATAACTTCTACAAACAAGTAAAGCCCAACAGTGCAGTAGGAAAATAGGCACAGGATATGAACAAACAGGTTACAGTTACAGAATGGGAAATACCAATGGTTCTTAATCATATGGAAAGACTCGACATCACTCACAGTGAAAGAAATCTAAGTTAAACTCTGAAATATTATTTTTCACATATGGTTTGGCAAAGATAAAAAGGGCTGAAAATATACTATGTTGGCAGAGATTGGGAAGCAAGTGCCTGCGTACTTTGCTGGTGTGAGCATAAATTGGTATGTGATAAAAGCTATAAAGTTTAAAATACATTCACCCTTTACCCCGGTATTTCAAGGTCCCTATTCTAGAAATTTCTCCTCCAGATATACTCACATATATAATAAATGAAGGTTATTTACTACAGCATAATTTTAATAGTAACACTTCATAAACTGGTCGATTGGTAAGAAGCTAGGTAAGTTATAGTCACAGAATACAATAACATAGAACTATATAATGGCGTGAAGACGGTTTGGATGTATTTTCTCTGGAATAAAAAACTGTAACATGCATAAGAGTGTGTTTGAAGTAATACCTTTGGCTTAAAAAGGCCTATAATTGTACAGAGTATCTCTGGAAAGATATGAAAAACACTCTAATACTGGCATGTCCTATGAAGAAAGGAGATGCTGCAGGTGGAGCTGGGAGGGAGACTTTCCCCTCGCTTCTGTACATCTTCATTTTGCACTATGGGCATGGTTTTCTCCTTCAAAAATATCTTTCCAGAGTAGCAGCTTCCAAATAATCTGGAACAAGAATCTAGAAGAGGCCATGAGACAGTCAAGAAAGCATTATCTGTACTACACAATGCTCGAGAAGGCTGGGAAGGCTGTTTCCAAAAAAGATTCACGATCTAGTGCTTAACATTTGTGTGAAGCCCACTTTTAGAATTGGTCCCTGAAGTGGGCATGATGGCACACATCTGTAATCCCAGCTTTTGGGAGGCTTAGGCAGGAGAATTGTGAGGGGAAGTCAATCTCCTCCATTTGACGAGATCTTCTGTCAAAACCCAAAATGAGCTGGTGAGATGGCTCGGCCGGCAGCAGTGCTTGCTGCACATGCCTCCTGGCCTGAGCTCAACCCCGAGAATCCTCAAAAAGTGGATGTGGGTCTGGAGTAGGCCTAGTGACACAGACAAGAGAGACCCTGCCTCAACAAGATGGAAGGAGAGAACCAACTCCCCGAAGTTGTATTTACGCTTCACAGTATAGAGTGGTAGGCATGTGACCCTGAGTCTCGTCAGTGGTCTACATTCACCTCTGCCAGGATGCCCACTCCAACTTTCATACATGTAGCAAGCACTCACATCCCTAGGCTCCACAGCATGCGATGTGTATCACTCATTCCTTTGTTGATAAACATATTCTAATAGACCCTCTACAGCAGACTCTGGGGAGCCAGCATTGATTCAGACAGCCACAGCTCACAGTCAAGGAGGAAAGAAAGACAGATTACAAAGTCCATTCAGAAGATCAAGGTCCTGAGGAGGAGGTAAGTTAGAAAGAGGGACACAGGGAAAGCAGGGAAAGTCTACAGATAAGAAGGCCCATAGTACTCATACATACAATGACCTACAGTGTGTGCCTGGTAACTTGCACTTATTTTGTCCAATTCTTGTGGCAATGCCCCAGATCCAACCTATAGTGGTAACATTAAAACTCAGAAGAGGGGCTAGAGAAAAATGGCTCAGTGGTTAAGAACACTTGCTGTTTTTGCAGAGGACCGGGGTTCAATTCCCAGCACCCACATAGCAGCTGACAACCATCCATAACTCCAGTTCCAGGGGATCTGACACCCTCTTCTCATCTCTGCGGGCTTTTCATGACATGGGTGCACTTACATACATGCAGGCAAAATGCTCATACACATAAAATAAAAATAAAATACTTTTAAAAACTCAGAAGAGGGGCTGGAAGGATGGCTCAATGGTGAAGCACACTTGCTGCTCTTGCAGAGGGCCTGGGTTCGATTCTCAGCACACATGTGGCCGTTCACAATCATCTGAAACTCCAATTCCAGGGCATTTGACACCCTCTTCTGGTCTCCACAGGCACTAGGTATACATGTACACATACATACATGCAGGAAAAACACTCACATATATAAAATAAGTAAATAATTAAAAGAATCTCAGAAGACTAATGGTCCCAACATAGAAAAATAAATGCTTGACAAAATGGAGGTGGTTTTATATATATATATACACACACACATACAGTGTATGTGTATATCAAATTATTACACTGACACCATAAACATATACAAATATTAGGTCTCCTCCTGGGCATGGTGGCGCATGCCTTTAATCCCAGCTCTCGGGAGGCAGAGGCACTCGGATCTTTGTGAGTTCAAGGCCAACCTTGTCTACATAGCAAGTTCCCAGTCAGCTGGGGCTGCAGGGAGACCCTGTCTTAAAAAAAGACAAAAACAAAACAAATGTTAGGTCTCAATTAAAGCTAATTTTTAAAAACCAGAAAGTTAAAATTATGATGATTAGAAGATAATCATTAAAGTGGCTTACTATGTACCAGACATTGCATTAAAAGTAGTACGAGAAATATATCCTTTATCTCTCACAACAACCCTAGGCTTGTATTAATAACCCTATTGTATTTTATTACTTTTTTTAAGATCAATTTTTATTTATGTGTGTGTCTATATGAGTACATGCCCTTTGTGCAGGTGCCTGTGTAGGCCAGAAGAAGGTGTCAGATGCCCTGACTGGAGTTACAGGCAGTTAATGATCCACTTGACATGGGTGCTGGGAACTGAACTCCCGTCCTCTGGAAGAGCAGCAAGTGCTCTTTACTGCTGAGCTGTCTCTCAACACCAATAACTCTTTTTCAGATGATAAAATGAAAGTACAGGAAGACCAACTGACATGTGCAGGGTTAAATGGCTAAGAAGAAGCAGAGTCTAGTTTGGAATCCCCATCTACCAAAACCTGAAAACACACACCATCGGTCTTTCTGTTACGGAGTCCAGGCTCCACCTGTTTTGATACTGCCTCTTATGAGCTTTATCTCACAAGGTAAGTGTCATAAAGACACCCTCTCCTGTATATCAAACAGCCTCCAAGACCTTTACATCTCTGCAGTTAGCAGCACAGGACTCTGCCACAGGATCCTGCAAGATAGAGGTAGTTGTGTTATGAATGAATTCATGGGTTGTGGCTTTGAGGGCTGTGACAGCCTTTAAGTAACAGAACACTGTAGAGGCACCTGGAGCGCAAAGCACATTCTTCCGACTGCAAGCCCCCATACAAAACATGTAGGGGACAGGGACAGGTACATGCTTGATTTAGCCAGGAGGCTCCATTCTGGTGACAGCAAGAAGAATGACCCTTTGCTTTATCTTTGCTTCCTGTGAGGTGGCCCAGAGTTAAGGAAACGGATTCTGAATCTTAATTGCTGCTTCCTAGCTTGTAGTAGTCTCACTTGAGAAATAGGGTACAGATTCTGCCCAAGGTTTTCAATGTTGTAACAGGAGGGTACATGTCAGAGGGGCATACCACGTCAGAAGGGTACCATGCCAGTGAGATATACCATGTCAGAGGGGTACACCATGTTAATGGGGTACGGTGTCAGAGGGGTTCTATGCCAGAAAGATATCATGTTAGAGGGGTTCTATGTCAAGAGAGTACCATGGCAGTGGGGTATACCATGTCAGAAGAGAACACAATATTATTGGGGTATTGTATTAGTGGGATGCCATGTTGAAGGGGTTCTATGAAGAGAAGATATCATGTTAGAGGGGCTCCATGTCAAAAAGGTACCATGTCAATGGGACATATCATGTCAGAAGGGTACACCATATCTTTGGGGTACTGTATCAGTGGGGTACTATGTCAGATGGAACAGTTCTATTACAGAGAGCTATCACGTTAGAGGGGGTCCACGTCAGAAAGGTACCATGTCAGTGGGGTACCATTTCAGAGGAGTACAGTGTCAGTAGAGTACCATATCATCAGTGGGGTACAATACCAGTGGGGTACCCTGTGGCCAGGTATTTTGGCAACTGTACATGCACAATGCATTTTCCAGCCACTAGATTTGTGCTGCTGATAATGATAATGATGACAATAATAGCTGCCATGGACTGAACAGCATTCTAGCCAGGAGTTCTGTGCGCGGTGCTTCACCCTGCTTTCCTCCTCTGAGTAATGGTAATGATAAGGAGGCAGTTAACTTGCCTAGAAGGAGAGAAACCACTATTTCCAAGGTTGAATTAGTTCACATTTCTGCTTACCTTCCTACTGTTTTAATCTATATATTGGCAACTCTGAAGGTAATGGAGAACTTACTTGAACTACACACAACTGAGATATACGCAGTTAAATGAGCAGTGCCTCTTCCCCCATTAGAGTCAATTATCTCATCTAAGTGTGCACAGTGCTGTCTTGTTAAAAGGTCACGAGAATTAACTAATTCCAGAATGAATAGAACTCTCACAGCTTTGCAAAGAGAAACATTTTTATTGTGAGAGCTTTCTCTTAATTTTCAGAAGATATAAAAAGCAAGCCCTTGCTTTAAAAAATGCCGGGCCTGGGGGTTGGGGTAGAATTGTCACGGGTAAATCTGT